GCTCCTCACGCAGTTCTTTCATAGCTGCCATCACGTGCTCGCTCCCCACGGGCAAATTTGGGTCACCCTCTGTGCGGGCCAAGGTGGCACGCCGGCCGAGACCATCGTCCGCGCCTTTGGGGACACGTGGCAGGTCGCGCAGTGCGCCGCGAGCGCCGGCTTTCTCCTCTACGACGTCCACGAAGCGCCTGTTGACGCACTTTTTCAGCTCGGCTACAACAGCGTCGGGCACCGCCTCCAAGAAAAGGCCTTTCGGACGCACGCCGGGCTCACGCATGTGTTTTGCGGCGACGCGATCGGCCACAGCGCGTGCTTTCCGCTCACGTGGACGCGCGACATTAGCTTCTGGATCAACGACGGCTTCTCGGACGCCAAGTTGTCGCCTGTTTTGCAGACGATCTTTGGGCCGCAGGTCGAGATTGCATTTATCAAGATTGACGACTACGTAAGCGACGCCGGGCGACTCGCGTACGGCTACCGCCTCACGTTGTCGTCGTCCGTCTTTGCGCTCTCGAAAGAATATGTCAACGCCAAGTGCGACGAGGTGGTGGATCTCCTCGATACGAAAGTATGGTAGACGTCATCGTGGACCTCAAGGAACACGTCGACCGCCCGCACGTCGAGCCATCAGCTTTGAGGCGCTACCTGTCTGCAGGAAGCCATTTTGCTAGGTTGCTAGGTCGCGTGAGAAAAAAAGACTTGGTGGTTGCGAAGTGTTTTCCGCCTGGTCTTGTAGTACGTTTCTTGATGTCGGAGCTAGAATAGCCAAAACTCTTCTGACGTCCCGATGACATCGCAGGTGTAGTTGGAGTCGTTACAATACGGCACGTGAGCGCGGCTGTTGCGGCGGGAAACGGCTGAGTCCCAAGCCGGGTTCAAATGGGCATACTTGCACGTCTGGTTGGACATCTTGGTCTTGTATTGGCCGTGTTGCTCTCAACCTTGCTCGTCGTCTTGCGGTTCTTGACCTTGGACTTGCCGTACGTGACTTTTTTCCCGCTGCTCGGCGGCGACGCGCTTTGCTCAAAGCCGACAATAAAATTGCGATACTTGACGGCAAACTCGCCGAGCTCGTCGAGCTTGCGCTCGTGCTCGCTCTTCATGGTCGTCTGTGCGGCTTGTTGGCTTGGACTCTGTTTTATTTTCTGCCAGCTCGCAGCCTTGTCATCACACAAGCTTGGCATTACTTGAGGGATCGCAAATTCTTTGCTGGCAACGTAGTGTATTCAATCAATCCGCGAGTCCACCTAAAAAGGCGGTAGCCCGTTTCACCCCTTTTGTATGCATGTGTGGCGCTCTGGCCCCGAACGAAACCAAGTACAAACTGTAAATGCGCCTCGTTGGACCTTAAAGCAGCGAGAATCGCTTTTGAGCCTCGGTGGCAAAACGCTCAAACTCCTCCAGCCCTGCTTGAAAGACGAGCTTGGCGTCGGGTTGATCCGGAAAATCATCTGTTGTCAGCTTGGCGATGATCTCGCAGAGCTTCGTGTAGCGGTAGGGACGAAAGACCCATTCGTTACTTGGACGCACAGTAGGGACCAGAGAGTGACCGTTGGCGTGTTTCGACGACTTCTTGCTCTTCTTCGACTTGTGTTTCTTTCCCACACTCGCCGTCGGCGCACGTGGCTGCAAGGCGATCTTAAACTCGCAGTATCGAACGGCAAAGTCGCCGAGCTCGTCGAGATCGCGCCCGTGCTCGAGCGCTGCCCACCTCTCGCGCAAGTCCTTCGCATCTCTCAAAAGGATTGCCATCTCTGCATCACGAGCGTCGGCGCGCGTATTAGAGGCCTCGATGCGCTTGCGGAGCTTGACGATCTCTGTGTTCAAAACCTTGCTGAGCGCATCACGAACCTGGCCGTTCTTCTTGAAGGCAGCCATGAGCTCGTTGTAGCGTCTTTCCTGTTCCTGAAAGTACGCCATGGTGTCCATGAGCTTGTCGTACGAAACGTTGAAGGTCCCTGTGACGCCCGGATCCGACTCGCCACTGAACGAGCTAAAGACGCTGAGGACCTTCGGGGTCCGTGGAAGTCCCAGCTCGTCTTGGAGCACAAGCGGCCAGTCGATCGGGTTGCTGTAGTGGAAGTAAAAGCGGTCCGGTGCTTCTGGCGCCAACTTGTGCCGGGCGACCACAAGCGCAAGCGGGCGAGAGCTGGGAATCGAGAAGAAGCGGCGCGGGAGAAGCGATCGGTGCTGCGAAGTACGGCGGAGAGCCGAGAGGACGCTCATGATGGAATGACCTCGTTGTCGGATCTCAACTGACGCTCAAGAAAACCTCTCGTAAAGCAATTTCTTGTTACGACAGGCCAACGGCGTGAACATCAACTCAATTCCAGCTTGGCGACCTGTAAAATCAACAGAACTCGTTGGTCGCAGACGACGGTCGTTGTTCTGTTGCTGTTGACTTTTGAACGATTCATGAATATGCTACTAGTACTGTGCAAACAATCCAACGAGCAATGTGCTGGGATTCTTTGCCCTTCGTTGCCACGGTAGTCTTTGGCCTTGTCATCGCTGTTTTCGCACAAGCGAACTCGTGCGCGTCGCACTTCTGGGTCGTTTTCCGACGCCACAGGCTGTCAAGTCACTCAACAGCCTGTGGCGACCAGAAGAAAGACGCAACTCGAGTCCCTCTTCTGGTCGCCGCCCTCGTCTTTGCTCGGATGGAGTGTGTTGAGAAGTTGCTTTTGCTTGATTTGAGATAGAGAGGACCGCTTGCCGAGGTGCGAGGTGAAACAGTAGTAGAGCACAAGAGCGACTCGGTGCGGACAGGTCCTTGACATAGACGTACAGTATAGCTCGTACTCCCACATGCCGCCCATGATGCGCTGGGACAAGCTGCCGCAGTCCAGAGATGGCAAGTTGTTGGGCCACTTCTCAACGGCGTCATTTTGCACCTGCCGATTTGGAATTCCAAGCGTGCCTTTGCAGAGGACGCATGTGTGTTGCACGCAGTTGCCCAGCGCTCGTAATCGAGCTTGTGCATACGCGTCGTGTTCTAGGTCGACGTGCAGTTATCGCCGCCTCTGGATGACGCTCGGCTGCCGTTGATGGTCGATGTCGCAGTGGTGCGACCACGTCGTCGATTGCGTCGAGCTCGGCTGGTCAGTGCTTGTGCCAGCTGCAGACAATCCTTTTCAAGAAATGAGCGAAAGCGCGCGTTCTGGGTACCATATATCTCAGACTTGGCGCCTTTATGACCCCCGTGCGGTAGCCACGATACAATTGTACCACCTCGCGTCGTGGAGTTTGGATTTTGTACGCAATATTGAATATATGTACGAAGTATTTTCATTTTGATTAAAATCTACTATATAAAAGAGTGCTTTTGTAAGGCAGAGCTAAATGGCAACCAAAATCCGATATGGACTCTGAGTCAGAGTTGGGTGCGCCTGGGATTGGCGCGGCGCGCGGCCTGTCTATCACACTTCAAGTCGCGGTCACTTCCAAAGATTCCACGCGCATGCAACGTCGCAGCAGCCGGTCTTTTGCGCCCATGCTGGCAATGCTGGCAATGCTGGCGGCGGCCGCAAACACCACCAGCCCACTCCCGACAACGTCGCCAGTGACTGGAGTGCCATCCACAACGGCGCCTTTAGCAGCAACCAGCAGCGCAGTACCAACGTCCACAGCCAATATTGCCGCGACGACCACCGTCCCGCCGACCGCGACCGTGACTGTCGTGACGGGTACGCCTCCGAGCTCAACGCGTGCAGCGACTCCTCATGTGGCGTAGACCCCAACGCGACGCTCCACACAACGCTAACCTTTACGCTCGGCGCGATCTGCGGCATTCTCCTCGTCGTCATCGTCCTTTTCTTCGTCAAGCGCAAGCGTGAGCGCCGACAAGGAGCGCTTGGCCATGACAGCCATCGACTCTCGCCAAGTTTTCTCTCGGTCGAAACGCCGCTGCCCGCGCGATCGTCGTATAAGTCGACGGTCTCGACACCCAAGGTCGCCGTGCTAGGGCCCAGCGCCGACGAATTCGACATGGACGTCGCCGCGCAATTCGAGGCGCACCCGCGGGACTTGGATCTCCACGAGATCGACAGCCCGTATGTGTCGGACTCGTCGAGTGGGAGGCGGAGCTCGTCCGACCTCGGGTCCATGGACTCGACGCGTTTCGAGGAAATGGTGCGCATGAAGATCAACCTTTTCTAAGCCGCCCGCGGCAAGCGGTGTGTCTATTTAATTATGTCAAGTTGAACGTTCACTATTCTCGTGAGACCGATCTCGAGTCGCGTGCTGGGCATGTGATGAGGGGCAGTAGTTACATCAGATGCAAGCGACGGCGCTCGGACCGCTCGACAGACCGAGCTACTACGAGAAATGATCAACAACATTGTATTAGTATACAGACTGCACGGTTCGATATCTCGTCGCCCTGTATCGGATCGTGTGGCATGTGCCGAAAATAGTTTCATTGGTCGATCGTCCAGCACGAGCGGTGATTGGACAAAATGCGCTGCGTTGCACGTTCGACCGCCATGGCGCGCTTCAGCGGCCACATCTACGACTTTGTCGCTTGGGAGGCAACGCTGAAGGCGACGCTCGCCAAGCGCCAGCGCGACGTCGAGGTCGTCTTTGCCCAGAAAGGCCTGGCTGCGCCTGCTGTCTCGTACATTGAGCTGCTCACGACGCCCGACCCGCCGCCGTCCCGCGTACAATCCGTTCTAATCACCGACCTGCGCAAGACATTGTTCGCGAGCTTGCCGTCGGCGTTTGTGGCCGAGTGCCTCTCGAAGGACATGCCCATGCACGAGCTGTGGGCGGCGGTCGTTGACGAGTACCATCCGTCGTCGCACGCGCCCATGGAGCGCGTCCTCGCCGACTTGTTTGATGACGTGTTTGACGCAAACTTTGACTGCGTCCACGAGCTCCTCCAGCGCATGCACAGCATCGTCAGGACCGTCAACGACTACACGCGGCGCACGCGCGGCCGCGCGCTCCTCACGGACGAACTCGTGCTCGAGCGATTGCTGCTTGCACTGCCAAAGGCCTGCGCGGCCCTCGTGCCACCCGGTCCCGTCAATCTCGACGCGTTCGGACAGCGCCTCGTTGAAAAATACAAGTATATGCCCCGCAGCGACATTATGGTGTCGTACGAAGGCGACCCGCCATTGGCCCAGCAAGGCATCCCGACCCGCGACCGCCTCTTTGCAGACGAGACGCCACCATCAACAAAATCCTTGCTGCCGATCAAGCGCAAGTGCGCATCGCTCGACTCGGACGTCGCGTCCAAAAAAGCGTGCTGTCTCTAGAGAGATCGCCTTGGTTGTGCGACGAGGTCGTCCTGGTGTAGTGGTGGTATGTTCATCAATGGAATGCGTTCGTGATAATGGATCGATGTGATCTTCGTCACGGGTAGTAATGGTGCCGTCCTTGCGACCGGCGGTACTGCGTGCAGATGCGTTCGGTGGGTGCGACGTCGCTGGTTGCGGTCGTGAGCCCAAGTATACTAGAGCCAGAGAGACAACTCAACGACCTTTGGTCAGCACGACCGTTGCAGTGAGCCCGCGCTGTCATCGACTGACGCGCCAACATACAGGCGTAGAAGCCCAGGGAGAAGCTTGCGGCTTGCGAGCGTGGCACTCGCCTCCATTACAGACGCCGCGGTATACGCTTTTCTTGAGTTTGAGTCCCCGGTATACAAAACGTGGTATGTTTTTTTCGATGCGACGCCAATCGAGACTCGGGTTGCGAAAAATCCATGCACCGCGTCAATCATGGCACGGATCAGGCTTACGAAGTCTGCAGTGTGCTCTCATTTCGGATCAAGTCGGCAAGATGGCAAAGCTCCTTCGACTGCTGGCTGTCTGCGCTGCGCTGGCCGCCGGCCAAGGCAACGACACGGAGCCGCCCACGACGCTCTTGCCCGAGCCGACCACGATGACGCCGGCACCGACGACGGTGCTGCTCAACACAACCTCGGTGCCAACGACAACGACACCGCTGGTAACACCGGCCACGACGCCGACAACGACGCCCGTGGCCACTGCGACGCCACGACCGACGATGATGGCCCAGACGACCCTAGCCCCAACGCCTGAGACCGCGGACCCCGAACGTGCGGACACCGTGGGCCCGACGCTTGAGCCCAACACGTCGGTGCCAACGGCTACGATTCGTGCGTCGAACACCACAACTTTTCCGCTCCCCTCCGCCCAGCCAACGACGATAAGCATCATGCTGCCGACGACCACGACCCTTTCCACATCCGGTAGTTTACCTCCTATCCCCGCAATGCAGTGAGTACCATCTCATCGAATGGCTGCATAGAGGATGCCACTTCTGGCGCAGTCGTGCTGTGGCCACTTGTGTGTGGTATTGTGGGGTGTGGGGTCGCAATTGCCTCTGTTCTCTGGGTGCGACAGTCGCGGCGCGAGAAGCCACCGTCGCCAGTCGCGTCATCCGACTCGTCGGTCAGCTCCTTCTTTAGCTTGCGCAACGGACCAAGCGATCTCGGAGCCACAAACGAGCTGCTCCGAAGCACCAACCCGATCTTCGATGTGATGGACTCGGTGACGATGGACCCGCCGTTTGAGACGTGCACTGAATCGGCGTACTCGCTGAGCCCGTCGTTTACGGGCGGCAACAGCATCTCGACGACGCACTCGACGCTGCTCAACAGCAGCTACTCGGAAGACATCTATTGCAGCGTGCTCTCGGACCGGTTGCTCTTGACCGGAGGCCCGTCCGAGCTCTTGGAAGAAGACGACGACGCGACCCCACCCCAGCTTGGCGACGACGACCGTTCGTCACTTTATGACGACGACGACGACGAGGATGCTGACAGCAGCAGCGCGATTAGAGTGCTGCACTCGGGCTACGGCGTCGACATGGCGGCGCTCCAAGATACCTCATCTCTGAGCCCGTACATGGACACGACACGTTTCCAGGCCATGCTCGACACGCCCGTGTACCTGGGCCAGAACGACGTCTGACCTCTATTTAGTATTAGTATTCTCTTCCATACAATGTGTCCTGTTGTCTTTCGAACGTGCACACTTGAGACCTGACTTTAAGCCATGTGAATGGAGCAAAAACGATGTTTTAGTAGCAACAAGGTGTTGATTTGACAAGCAGAAAGAAGGCTGTGGGCGCGTGTGCTGCAAAGCAGGCTGTTGTCATCCAACACGCGAAAGGGCCGTGGTTTAGATATATGTAATAGTTGAGCTATGGAATGGAGAGAGAGCTCTTCGTTGGACTTCGTGGAGGTAATAATAGCCACAGAGTGCAGTCATTCTCTTGCTGCGACGACACGGCAAGCAGCGCTATTCATACGGCATCTACAACAATCTTGACGCCGAGACACTGGCATCATGACGCATGAGTGATTCGATGTTAGAGAATCAGAACACTATGTGTAGGTAGCAGTTCCCTTGTCAGCTTCCTCGTTCCTAGCCAGGACACGGTACAGTACTGGATAGGTCGCGGGTCAATGATTCCGGTCATTACTACTTGGATCCGGCGTCGACACACACTGGTCAACACCACGTACGGATGAGTTTGGAGCGGCATGCGAAGAAGCAGTCTCTCGCGTTGCAGCCTCGATACGCTTGACCTGCGAGCGACCAAGGTTGTCGAGCACCCAGCGCGGCGGTCTCCAGGACGTTGCGCGGAAGGTAAGGCGTGTCGCCGCGTATTCTTGGCTACCACAAGGCGTCAGGAGCCTGCAGCAGTAATGCGCGACGCCAAGCCCGTCTTCGGCCACCACAGGCTGCCACGTATGCCTCCCGCACCGAAACTGTCCTCTCACGTTTCGAACTACCACTTGGTTTTGAAACTCCGTATTCGAAGTTCGCACGCTGTGTCTGATTTGCTGTAAATAGTGTACTAGTATGAAGGCAAGTTGCGATGGTTTAGAGCTAGGCGTTGTGCCTGGGATGCATGGCCGGATTGCTGTGTCGTGCTTGGAGCAATACGAGGGTGGCCTCGCGCTATGACTTTGATTGTCACATGCGTTCTCGCGACGGTGAGACCTGAAATAGAGTTAAAGCGAAGTTCGAAGCTCGAACGCGTGGCATTTTCGAAGCCCTTGGCGCGTTCTGAACGTAGCCGGTTTGGCGGATGTCCCAATGGCAAAGTCGCTGCCATTCCACGTCTCGCTGGCTAGTACATAGTACGTCATGTTGCTCAAGACATCTTGGGCACTGTGCCTCCTCATTGCACTCGTCGCGGTCGTTGCCGATGCGCAGCGCGGCGTGACACCCATCGTTGTGCTCGGCATCCCAACGCACCTCGAAGGATTTGGTGCAAACGACAACAACAATAGCACCTCCAAGCCGTCGATCAACGATACCAATGCTCCGACGACGGCTCCGCCAAGCCCTTCGCCAAGCCCAAGTTCCGCATCGCCGAGCACGACGCAGCC